TGCGGGCTGCAGAGCTGTGGTAATGGTGTTTCTTGGGAGGTTCTGCAGCATTCCTCTGCAAGCAAGCCACGTCCCTCTGGCTGCTGGGCTAATTAGTGTGGGTGCTTGACATTAAGGTGCCCGGAAGCACTGAGAAGGTGGAAAGTGAAGAGTACCAAGAAAACTGTGAAAGCAAGGAAAAACTGAAGGAAGAGAAACAGGACGAGAGTGAAAAAACTGAGCCTTCTCCTGAGCCCCTGGGGAAAGGTGAGTCTCTGTGGCTCAGAAGAGTGTGGGCTCCATTCTGAGCAGCATTTGGGACATCTGTGAGGGCTCTGACAGTTACACTGACATTGATGTGTGCTGGGGAATTTCTTCAGCTCAAGGTGCACAGACACAGAGCATGCACTGCGACAGCCTCAGGTGCTTGGGGCTCCTGACAGGCAGATACTCTCTGTAGGCAAATTCTGGCACTTGCTGCTGGCTTCTCTTCTCCAAATCACAGAGGGAAACCTGAATGTCACAACATCCAGTGGAAATTCCTAAGAAAAGACTTCCTGTTGGACTTCCAGATTGCTGTTTAGATGATGATACCATGTTGTCACAGATGTAATCTACATTGTAGTGTTAAAGCATCAGTTTAGTATAATCTACAGGTTAAAACAAATCAAAAGTAAGCTGTGATCAGTGCTTGTACCCGATACGGTCGCTTTACCCTGGAAGTTACAATCCATACAGATATATTATTTCCTGCAGAGCATTTTACACGTTATGCTTCTCTCAGAGTCCTGTTCCCTTCTGCAGATGAGGGAGTCCAAGAAAAAGAGAAGGCTTTGGAAAAGCCAGAGTCAAACAGCAGTCCTGGTAAAGGGGAGGACAAAGAAGTCAAGCCAGGTAAGGTGCCAGGAGGCTTTGGAAAGAGAAGTGGTGTGAAGTGCCCTGCTGGGCAGGGTCTCCGACTGAAGGCAGGTGTCTGTGTTGTGGCACGGGGCTGCAGCCAGCACCTGCAGTGGGCAGTGTGCTCTGTGGTGCTCAGGAGCCTCTGCAGGACCTCATTACAGTGGGCACTGCTGTGAAAACATCAGGAGCTGCTGGAGGTGGCAGATGGCCAGCAGCTGTTGGCAGGAGGTGGCGGGTGGCTTCTCTAGCAGTGATTTTAGTGGGGACTTCCCCTCACAGTTGGGAGGGCAGTGGTAGCAGCAGTCGGTCTGATGGCTGCATAAGTTTGGGCAGCTGTAATTTCCCGTGTTTGCCCAGCAGAGGATACCAAGGTGGAAGAGAAGGAGCAAAGTGAGGCTCAGCAAAATGGTGACAAAGAAGAGGAGGATGGAAAGAAGGATGACAGAAACGTGAACTTTAGATTCATGTTCAACATTGCTGACGGAGGCTTTACGGGTTGGTTGTTTTACTGCTGCAGAGCTTTTACATAAAGCTCTGTACTGAGCACTGCTCCGTGGCTCCCTGGGCCATCTCCTCTCTCGCCCTGCATGCTGTGCCCAGCAGCCCTGCTGGCTGACCAGGCTGTCTCTCTTCTGTTTCTGCAGAGCTGCACACGCTGTGGCAGAATGAGGAAAGAGCTGCCATCTCCTCCAGCAAGATCTACGACATCTGGCACCGCAGGCACGACTACTGGCTGCTGGCAGGCATCGTCACGTACCCTTTGGCTTTTGGGTGATGGCTTCCCCGTGCCGGGCAGAGGAGGCTGCGCTGTGAGGGCAGCGGGGAGGGAGGTGATGGAGCGGGGAAGGGGACTGGGGAGGTGTTGCTGAGAAGTGCTGTCTGCTGGCCGGTTCTTGCCTTGACGCTCCCTCCTGGCAGCCACGGCTACGCCCGCTGGCAGGACATCCAGAACGACCCGCGCTACGTGATCCTGAACGAGCCCTTCAAGTCAGAGATACACAAAGGGAACTACCTGGAGATGAAGAACAAGTTCCTCGCCCGGCGCTTCAAGGCGAGTTGCAGGTCCAGGGCTGGTGAGTCCTTAGTGGTGGCACAGAGCAGAGCCCCACGGCGAGGTGAGCGGAGCAGAAGGCGGCAGATGTTTGCGAGGCGTCAGTGGCAGAGAGGCAGCACCCTGAGGGGCAGGGCTGGAGGAGCAGGAGCACTTGCTAGCTCCAGAATGTGGCACATGGATGGGGCAGTGCTGTGGAATTGCTGCCCAAATCTCTTTCTGGGGTACTTTAGTGTGTGATTGGGCTGCGTTGGGGTGACACAAACCCAGGAGTTGTGGGGCTGGGGCGGATGGACGGATGGCAGGCATGTGGGTGGCACTGGCTCGCACGGGCACAGGGTCTGGTCCTGATCCATTGCTCTCCTGTGCCTCCCAGCTGCTGGAGCAGGCCCTGGTGATAGAGGAGCAGCTGCGGCGGGCGGCGTACCTCAACATGACTCAAGACCCCAATCACCCGGCCATGGCATTGAACGCCCGTCTGGCTGAAGTGGAGTGCCTTGCCGAGAGCCACCAGCATCTCTCCAAAGAGTCCCTCGCGGGGAACAAGCCTGCCAATGCCGTCCTGCACAAGGGTACGTGGGGGCAGAGGGCGGGGGGTGCAGGGAAGGGTGGGCTGTGCCGAGTGAGACCACAGGGCAGAGCAGCCTTGGGGAACTGCTGGAGGAGGAGCTGATGTTCAGTTGGGTCACGAGGTGCCGTGGGGCTTCGGGGTCAGCAGTTCTGGCTGTGCATTGCAGTGCTGAACCAGCTCGAGGAGCTGCTGAGTGACATGAAGGCTGATGTGACGCGCTTGCCCTCCATGCTGTCCCGCATCCCTCCTGTGGCTGCACGGCTGCAGATGTCGGAGCGCAGCATCCTCAGCCGCCTGACCACACGTGGCGGGGAGCCCGCGGTGCAGCAGGTGCGTGGGCTGGAGGAGTGCAGAGCTGCCCTGGGGTGCCCTGTGTCCCCTGCCCCAGCTCTGCACTGCACACCCTGTGTTCCAGCTTCCCTTCTCCTTTCCTCAGGGCTCCTTTGGTTCCTCCCAGATCTACAACAACAGCTTTGGACCGAATTTCCGAGGTCCTGGGCCGGGTGGGATTGTCAACTACAGCCAGATGCCTCTGGGACCCTATGTGACAGGTAGGCTGAAGCTTCTGACAGACACAAGCAGGGAAATTGAAGTGACAGATCTTAGTGCAAAGCAAGGATGGTGGTGAGCAGCTGTTTTCTCTCTTACCAACAGATATTTAGCCCTTTCCAAGACTTTCTTCTGCTGTTCCCATTCCCACCCGAGGTAAGGCTGCACCTGTGACCATCCTCTGAGCTGTCGTGTGCTGGCAGACCACGAGTCCCTGTCTGTCCCCTCAGCAGCCCCTGGGCCACTCTGCAGCCCCGAGAAGAAGCCGCAGGGTCACCAAGGGATGGGGATGCAGTGGGCAGAGGGGATGCAGCCCCGCGCCCCTCGTCCCCACATGTGCTTCAACCCCCGTGACCCCGACCATCGCCAGAACTTCTCTGAAGGGGATTTCATTTCCTTGTACATTTTTTGCACTTTCTTATTGAAGACTTGAAGAGTTTGTCTGGAAGTGTGGGATGAGTTAAGAAGGAATACAGAATAACAGTATTTATGTCTGTTTTTATTGACATGTATCAGAGTTAAAGGGAGACCTGTTGGAAGCTCTGTTTCTAGTCCAGTTCCACGCTGACCGTTAGGCGCCAAGCTTACTCCTATTCAGTAGCTTCCCTGTAAGTTCTATTTTTATGTCCTTTTTGTGTTTGAGCAAGCGCATGCCCACCGCTGCCCTGCTGCAGCACAGGGAGCAGAGAGGAGGAGGAGGAGGAGGAGGAGGAGGAGGAGAGGAGTCGGCTGCCACCGCTCCCAGCCCATCCCTGGGCTGCAGTGAGCCCTGCCTTGGGTCCCTCTGCCTGCAACCTGCCCTCCATGCTGCACAGAGGAGAGCACGGCTGGGCAGGGCTTCCTTCCATCCTCTCTGCGGCCACAAGCTGCCTGGAGCTGGGGGGGGGTCGTGGGGGCTGCTGCAGCAGAGCAGAGGGTGGCCGGACTGCTGCCTTTGTGCCTGGTGGGCTGCTATTTTGTGATACTGACTGCACCGTGGTGACCTTTTGTAGGAGGTTTATGGCACCTGTAACCAACACACTCACATTTACTTTGTACTCTGTGTGTTTTGGTTCATGTTCTCTGTGTTTTAATAAATCCTGTAAAAAGGAGGTGGGAGCAGCGTCGTTATTGTGCTGGCGACGAGGGGAGCTCTGCTCTTCCACCCCAGGGATCAGGGTGGGAGGGGGGCACAATGCTCGAGGAGGAGCCAGCCCCTGCCTGGACCCCCCCTGCTGCCCCCCTTGGAGCCCACAGCCCCGGGCGGTGGCACCATGTGCCGTGGTGCTCGGTGCCATCCCAGCATGTACGTGTATGTAGGTGTGCTTGCGGTGTGTGATGTGAGCACAGTGACACATCTGTACATTGCCTACAGATGCACGCAGATATGCAATTCTATATACCTGCTTATGTGTATTTCTGCGTGGTTTGTGCAGATATATAAAAATGGCAGCTCTCCCTTATCTATCCCACCTGCACACACGTTCACTGCTCCACCTCCCCGCCTCCACGCAGCAGCGTTTGCTGTTTCCCCTCCACGGGGAGAGGGACAACAGGCGCTGCCTGGGGAGGAGCTGTGTGGAATCCCCCCGCCCAGGGGTTCCCGTTGCCCACCCATCTTCTCCCTCACGCCCATCCCAGGCAAGGGCACAGACGCAGCGTGCCGGGGCTGCAGAGCAGAGCGCTGGAAGGATGGGTGGTGGTGATTTGTTGGTGGTGTCGCACAGCAGCCTCTTACAGCCCCGGCGCTGATCCGGGCCAGCACCCAGCCCTGCGCACGTAACGCTCCCGCGGTGCTCTGAGCACAGCTGCACCCAACGGCCTCCTTGTCCGGAAACACAAAGTAAAGAAGAGAAGCAGCAGGGAGACGCATGCAACGGCTGCGGCCGCCGCCCAGGAAGGCCCCCGCCGGCTGAGTCCTCCGCACGGTGCCGGGACGCCCCCAGCAGCGCAGCGCAGAGCCTGGCCGTGCGCCCCGCGGCTCCGAGTCCAGGCGCGGGCGCGCGCTGCCCAGCACTCTCCCCGGCGGCGGCTTTCTTGCATTCAAAGTAAATGTTATGTAGTAAGCGTTATGTTCTCTTGCAGCGACGTTTGGAACGGTTTCTCTACACTCTTGGCGTGCTGTTCTTGATGCGGGCCGCGCTCTCCACTTTGCTTCATCCAAGCGTAAGCAAGCGATCGGGCGGCGGGGCGGCGTGCCGGGCGCCTAGGAGCGGTAGTCCTTCTTGCTGTAGGGTTTGTTGCCCAGGATGCTGTCGATCTCATGGACGATGGAAGACGACAGCTTGGGAAGGACCTGCACGGAGCGCAGCCGCAGCTGTGCGGGGTGCCCCGCCTCCCGCTCTGTGCCCGCCGCTCAGCATCGCCGCGCAGCGCTTTCGACTCATCCGCAACGCGTGGCAGCACCGCGCGGCCGTGCCGCTGCGCGTCTCACCTGTATGGCTCCGATGTTCTCCATCAGCTGGTCGGCGTTGGAGGCTCCCAGCAGCACGGAGCTGACGCCCTCGTTGCGCAGGCACCATGCTGGGGATGCGGAGTGCCGAGCTGAGCGGCGCCCGGCCGCTGCCCCCCACCGCCCCCCCACCCCCTTACCGATAGCGAGCTGTGGCAGCGTGCAGCCCAGGCGCTCGGCGATGGCTTGCAGCTCCTTCAGTTTAGCCTGCTGCCGCCGGCCCTCCTCACTCAGGATCTTGTCCTTCAGCCACTGGTACCCCTGGGGTGGGAGAGAGGTGAGTGGGGGGCTCTCTGGAGCCCTGAGACCCCCGCACCGCATATCTCTCCATGGTGCTCACCTTCAGTGATGCTCTTGAGTATGGAGGAATGCCGCCATCATACTTCCCTGAGACGATGCCGCACGCCAGCGGTGACCAGGTCATGGCACCGACACCTGGGGTGAGCAGAGCAGAGCAGGGAGTGACCTGGGAACCTTACAGGCTGCCTTCGGCCTGGGGCTGGGCAGCACTTGGGTGCAGTGGGCGACCTGGAGGGCAGGAGGGGCAGCAAGGAAACCAGCCTGGGGAGCTGGGATGAGGTAAGCAGGAGTGGAGGTGGCTGGGGCACACGGGGAGATGGAGGAGCAGCGGGTGAAGCCCTCAGGAGAAGGACCCGCGTGAAATGGATACCTATCTTGTGAAAGAGCTCAGGCAGCTGCACCTCCACCTTCTCCCGCTGGAACATGTGGTACTCAGCCTGCTCGCAGATCGGTGGGATCAGGTTGAACTGCCGTGCCACTGAGTACGCCTCCTGCAACCCGGATTGGCAACGTCAGCGCATGCTGCCCCGTCACCACGCGGCAGGGATTTGGGCTGTGGGACCCCGAGGGACGCGGCTCCTACCATGATCTCCATGGAGCTCCAGCGCGACGTGCCCCAGTACATGGCCATCCCCTGGTTGATGACGTGGGTCATGGCGCGCACCGTCTCTGCCGGAGGAAGGGAGAGCAGCAGGCGGGCGTTAGGGCACAGGGATGGGGCTGGGCCGTGCACATCTTGCAAGCAGTGTACATCCAAACGCCAAACGGGCAGGAGTTGGGTGTGGAAATTAAAACAAAAGGGAATGGAAATCGACCCGAGAGAGAGAGACTGCGTGGAAATGGCTTCTCCGCAATGAACGCATTTCCAGATCTATTGAAAACAGACCCAGGTCAAACCACACCGAAAGCATCACATAGAGGCGGGCAGAGGTCGGAGTGCTGAGATGAGGAGGGAGGGACAAAAAGGCGATGTATGGTCCTCTGGGAGCGGTGACAGTCAGGAGAGGGCACAGGAGGGCACTGAGGAAGGGATGCAATTGGGGACGTAGCGCTGCTCCCAGGTAACTGGGCTGGAGCTGCCTCCAGCTCATCCCAAAGTGCTCCACCACAGAAACGAGTCAAAACAGGGTTTAAAGATATACAAAAGAGAGCACCCTCCCCAAACCCGGCATTCTGTAGCTGTAGCCCATTCTGGGCTGTGCCATGGCCTGTGGGAATGGGGGTCCCCAGGGCTGCGCTGGCACACAGCACTTACAAATGCTGCAGGAGGGAAGCAGGTGGATGTTCCCACACCCTCTGGTACCAACCATCTGGAAGCACAGCTGCTGTGCCCAATGTGGCTCAGGACGGTAGGAAATGTGGAGCTGAGGGATTCGTTGCTCCATCCCAGAGCGATGCTGGGAGGAAGCGGTTGGGGGCTGCCACAACTTGAGGCGGCATCAGGCTGCTTCAAACCACGTGGGCTGGGTTGCAAGCCAAGATGCCATGCCAAGTGAAGGAAGCAAGGAGGAGAACATGGCCGAAGTTCGGTTTAACAACACCAGTGCGTTCAGCGACAGCTCAGCCAAGCACGAGCTTTGTGTCAACCAAAGGCTTCAGCAGCCAGACCTGGCAGCTCGGCGTGGGGCAGGAGGGGCCTGCATGGAGGGCGCCCCATCCTGCGTGCCAGCAGGGGACGCTGCGAGCGGCACAGGGGTACAGCTGGGTGCTGGGCTACACCGTGCCCTCGGGGCGCACTGCGTGGGGACAGACTGACAGCAAGAAGAGCTGCGTGCAGCAAGGACTGACGGCTTCACCTAAGCACTGCCCAGTGCCAGAGCAGCACCAGAAGCGCAATGCTGGAGCCATGCGGGGAAGGGGAGCGGATGGGATGGGAGCGCAGCTGTCAGCTTTGTTCCTTCACTTGCAAGATGTTCTGGGGACGGGGGCGTATTTTGGTTTGGCTGTTGCTGCTGTTTTCCTTTGCGCATTTTATGGAGAGGGTTATTGAGGGGGGAAGGAATCAAAATTAATGAAAAATGCAGGTTCTGTCTCATAAAATGCCACTGGGGTTCGGACTGCGGGTACGATGTACCTTCTATGATGAATGTTCTCGACTTGGAAGAACTAAATGGGTGCCCTGGTGATAAAAGAAAGATGTAGAGAGACCAGAGGTTACAGCCGCCGGTGTCACAGTGAAGGGCACAGCGGGGGACGGGGCCGCGCACCCCCAGCACCACGGCAGCCCCCGGCCGCGCTCCTGGCACGGGGCGAGGGATGGATGCTCAGAGAGCTTTAGCTGAAGGGGTTACGCTCTGTCATGGGAAACACACTTTCAGAGGAAAGCCTGCCACAAGAAGCATGGTTACAACCCACGGATGGCAATGGAATACGGCACACGGCATGCAGAAAACAGGGAAAGAAGGGACGTGGCCCTGGAGCCGTGGGTCGGACACCTCGGCACGGCCGCAGCGCAGCCCCCACCTTCCATGGGTGTGTTGGGGTCGGGCCGGTTGGCAAACACCACGTCCACGTAGTCCAGCTGCAGCCGCTCCAGCGACGCCTTCAGACCTGCAGCCATGCAGCACAGTCAGGGCAGCCCGCACTCCGCGCCGCACCCCGCACCCTGCAGCCATACCTTCAATGATGTGCTTCCGGGACAGACCCCGCTCCGTCTCTGCTCTGAAAGAAGAGAAGGGGCAGTGGGAGCCCGCTGCCGGCCGCAGCACTGCGGGGCAGGGCGGCTGCTACCTACTTTCCTCCCCAGAAGATCTTGGTGGTGATGACCAGGCTGGATCGTCTGCAGGGAGAAGGGCAGAGTCATAGAGCAGTAGGGTAAATAAGATGGAAAAGACCTCTAAAGCCCACCTAGGCCAACCATCAGCCTATCACCACCAAACCCACTCGCAGGAACATTAAGGTTGGAAAAGGGCTCTATGACCACCAAGTCCAACCCCAACCCATCCCACTGTGCCCACTGACCACATCCCCAGCTGCCACCTCTCCACGCTGCACACCTCTGGGGTTGGGGATTCCAGCACTTCCCCAGGCAGCTGTGCCAGTGCTCAGTCAATGCGTGAGCCCTGCGCCCCATGGGCTCTTCCTCCTCATTCCTCCCAGCCCACGAGCATCACAATCACCAGGGAAACCTGCTGCCTAAAAGTAAAGCAGTGTGGGATGCTGGACCTTGGCGGTGAGACCTACCTCCAGCCCTTCTTTTTGATGATGTTTCCCAGCACAACCTCAGCCCTGCAAGGAAAGGGAGACATAAGCCTTGAGCTCTTTAGGCTGGAGCAGGAATTAGGTCAGAGACGTGTCAGTAATGAGAAGTGACTGCGAGCAGCGTTGGGACACAGCGGGGAGCAAAGGACTCCAAAACAGCAGGAGCTGCTATTCTGAAGCAGCTGTGTGGGCCCACTCATCACACCGCTCGGCACCGGGGCCGCCCCCAGCCCAGCATCAGTGGGGCTGAGCAGAACTGGGTCAGCACACGCAGAGGCCACGGGCCGGGACGGAGCCCTCACCCCAGCAGGAGATGCTGTGGTGGGATGGAACGTTTGAGCAAATGTGAAATGACTTCCCAAAACGAGCGCGGAGAGGCGGAATGATTTAATTATTTCCACTCTCCAAACTTTCAAACCAACCTGCATGACAGCGGCTGTCCTCGGCGAGCAAACGGAGGGCAGCGTGCGGTGCGGGGATGGGAAGCGCCTATCAGTGCTCCTGGGGGGAACGTTCCTGCGTGCCGCAGGACAGCAGCCCTCCTTCCAAACCCTCTTTCAAATATTTAGGAACTGGAGAGCCTGCGAGCACGCTTGTGCAGAAGGGCTTTGAAGACTGAATGAGCACCTGGGAACCTCGGGAGTGTGGAAATGCAGAGCTGAGGGAGGGGGCTGTGTGGGGTCAGGGGGTGCCCAGCCTGGAGCAATCCTTGGGTGCTGGGGCTCCTCCTGCTCAGCACGTGGGACCAAGTGTGCAGAACGCGCCGTTCCTCCCCCAGCACAGGTTTCTGCGTAATGCAGGAGTGGGTTTAAAGGGAAAAAAAGAGGCTCTGCCATTGTGTCGATACCCACAGTGCTGCTCTGCCTGCTAAATATATCCCAGCCCACAGCTGCGAGGGGGCTCAGGATGTGTCCCAGAGCACCTCCAGCTGAGAACCGGAGGGATTTGGCCGTGCTGAGGAGGAGCAGGGCTGGCTAGGAAGGCTCCCCGCATGGTGCCAATGGTACTCACTTGCCGGCAGCGTAGACTTCTGCCGTGTCGAACAGATTAATGCCGTTGTCATACGCTAAAGTCATCAGCTGCTCGGCCATCTGCGGGGGGGAGAGGGGATGCCTGGGCATGGGGACACTGAGGGCTGCAGCCCCAGTGCACCCAGAGCTGCTGCTGAGGCTGTGTGCTGTCCTTACCTCGTCTGTGATCTGCCCTCCAAATGTCACCCATGTCCCTGCAGGGAGAGATGGCACGCAGTGAGCGCAGCGTGGCCGTGCTGCATCCCCAGCACCCCTACAGAGCGGGGACAGAGCCGACTTCTGTGGCTCTGAGCAGCGGCTGGGAGCGCGGTGCTGCTTGGGGTAGGATGGGGAGCGTGCACTCACCCAGGCCGAGGCAGGATACACGCAGCCCAGACTTGCCCAGATTTCTGAAAGATAGAGAGCCGTTAGAGCAGCAGCTGGACATCGCACCGTGCTCATTAACTCAGCTAATTGCACAGAGAACCCCTCTGGTGCTGTGCGGGAGGAAGGGTGGAACCCACTCAGGAGGGCACCAGTGCAGAGAAGGGCAGAGCACAGCAGCACTGAGCTCTGAGCCCTGAACTGTGGCTGGAGAAGTCAGGGTTGGATTTTATGGAACACGGAGAGGAGAGAAAGGGGAAAGAGTGGCTGGGAGCACCGAGCCCCAGCCCCGGTTGCTGCTCTACTTCTGCAACAGAAATAAACACGGAGCTGTCGTGAGCCAGAAGGCACCGGAGAGAATGAACCACAAAAAAAGGAGCGTGGATGCAGCTCCTTCCAGAGACAAGAACTGCTGCTCCAGAACACCAAGCAACGGGGGCTGCGTGAGGGCATGGGGCAGGAGGGGCAAGAGGGGCACCCAGTGTGGGCACAGGGCAGCAGCCACCCACGGGGACACGAGGACACAGGGAGCTGCAGCACTGCCCACAGAAACACAGCAGCCCTGCGTGATACCCCAAACTCAGCAGCGAAAAGTGGAGAACGTTCTTTTGGGAAGGAATCCAGGCTGGCAGGCGTCCTTTCCGCCTTTGCCACAGTGATTGATGGCGCATTTTTACAAATCACAAAGGTTCGAACAACAAGCTTTAAAATAAATAAAGTGTAGGTGAGCTGCTGCTGCCCGCCCGCGCGCGGCCGCGTCGCGTAGCAACGTGCCACGTCCCGTGCCCACAGCAGAGGGACCCATCCCTGGGGCGAGGGGACGGACCGCAGCAACGGTTATTAATTTCAGGCTGAGATTAATCAGGATGTTTTCCTTCTGCGCTGCTGCGTTATTGTCCAACATCTGGAAGACGTGGGTGCTACAGAGCAGATGCTCCATGTCTCGGCCCCATTTATTTTTAGCTGGCGTAGCAGAGGGGCAGAGGTTGTGGGCTCTCAGAGGGCAGAAACAGCGACATGGAGAGGAACAAACCCGAGCCAGGAGTGCAGCACTGGGGCAATGGGAGCTTCCCTGCTCACGGCTTCCTGCATGCAAGCCTATGGGTTTCTCACTTGCAGCAACACAGGGATGGAATGAGCATCCCCTGTGTGGTGCACAGCCCTCCAAGTATCACTCTGAGCAGAGTTTGTGTGGAGCAGAGTGAGGACATTTGGAGAGCTCGGTGGCCCTGCTGCAATGCCATCGCCGCCACCTCCAGGGGCTGCCCTGGGGGACCCCAGAGGGGTGGCCCAAGGAAAGAGGAGCAGGGCAGAGCAGAGAGCAGCACGCCGAGTGCTGAGGACGCACGGCTTGTAGGATGGTTGACCCGGCTAATGGGGATGCTAACAGGGGCTGATGGCTGATCTCGCCCCAGCAACACGCCTCCCTGCTGCACTTTGCAGCTCAGCACCGTTCTGCTGGCCTGGAGCCTCTGCCATCCACTGCTGCAGCGTTCCCTCATCTGCCCAGTGCCAGGCGCCCCGTGTGCACGCTGTGCTTCATCCCAAACCCACGCACTGAGGGCTGAGCCCTCACCCTGAGCTCCGGGGGTTCTGGCAGCGCTGCACAGCCCCGATGCCATCACAGCCCATGGATGGCTGCACCGCAGAGCCCCTACATCCCCTACAGCTGCTGCTCCCACAGCACCCACACCGCGGTCCTCCTGAGCCCCACAGCGCGATGTGGGAGCGCTTTGCCTCCTCCTGTCCCACTGCTTCATGCTAAAACCACACCGAGAAGGGAGAGAGCAAACTGCAAAGAAGGGAAGGAAGGTGAGCAAAGCGCACAGAGAGCAGAGCAGCACTTGTAGCACTGAGAAACCCACAGCCAGGAGGGGAGAGGGGGTCTGGGAAGAGCGCGGCACAGCCCGGAACCCCCTCCTCACAAATCTGGGGGGCATCCAACGCACCCAAACAGGCAGCAGAACCCCAAACACAGCACGTCCTCCCCTACCTGTACTTCATGCCCGGCTGTTTGATGCTGGACTCGCTGGACGACGGTGCGTTCTGCACCGAGAGCTGCCCCAGGCTCCGGGCCACCATGGCCACCGCCCGGAATTTGCTGCGCGTGCCGAGGCTGGGGCTGCTGGCATTCTGCCTGTTCAGCCGGTCCTCCGCGCTCCGGCTCTTGATGCTGTGCTCGGAGCACACAAAGGAGACCTGCATGGTGCCCCGCTGTCGGGCTGCGGGTTCGCTCCTCCCCGGGGCTCAGCCCCACGCTCCTCCCGGTGCGGCGCGGCGGGGGCCGGGGCTGGCGGGGCTGGCGGGGAGGGCTTCCCCCAGACGCGCGGCTCCGGAGGTGCGGGGGAGCGCCGGCGCTCGCCTGCCCGAGGCTGAAGGCAAACTTCGAGTCCTGCGTACCTCTGACGCCTCCGGCGGCGCCGCGTCCCTACGCCCAGGCTGTTCCCGGACGGCGGACGCGTGGTCCCCGTAAGGTCGGTGCCCGGGGCGGGGGCACCGAGGGCACCGCGCGCCCACGGCCTCCCGGCATCGCCCGTGACCCTCCCGCGGCCGCGGAGGCGGCAGCAGCCTAAATTTAGACGGCCAACTCCGCGCGGCAGAGCCCTCCTCCTAACGTCGGCGGAGCATCACTCAGCCAACATGACGGCTGCGGGGCTGGGGGAGCGGCACGGCTTAGCGCGGCTCCGGGCCATCAATATTTGATGAGTTTTAGGAAGCAAACAAACAACGGCGGGGCAGGTGGGGAGGCAGAGCGCGACCGCTCCCCCCGTTCCGTGCTGGGGAGCCGCGCACCCCCGCTATGTCCGCAGCGCGGGCACCGCCAGCGCCCCCGGGGTCGGAAGCCCGGTGGGTTTGAAGCTGGAGCCGCTTTGAGCCGCGCCCCGAGCGCCTCTTCCCCGAAACTTCCCCAGACGAGAGCTACGGCAATTAAGTGAAACCCAAACCCGGTGTCTCCTCTGAAGGACGGAGCCGCGGCGGTGCCGATGGCCGCTCGGCTCCGGGCTGTGCGCAGCAGCTGCCCGTCGCCCCCGGTGATGCAGGCGGCTCCAGTGGTCGGGAAGTAATGGGCCGAGCGGGAGGGATCGCCCAGGCGGCCACAGACTGCGCTGATTCCTACAGCGGAGAGAAGCGGCGCGGGGCCGTGGGTCGGTCTGGGGGGTGCGCGGGGGATTACATAAACTCGGCCTCAGGCGCAATGAGAAAATTGGTGATCTGCTCGGGTTTCCCCCTGCCTCCAAGCTGCTCCGCTCGGGCAGCGGGGATGGGTGATGTGGACCCAGGGAAGCCTGCACCCGTTGCGGCAGCGCGGCTGCATCCCCAGCAAAGAGCATCACTGCTGCCTCCCACGGGCACGAAATCACGGTCGTTTTTGCAGCCCCCCCTCCCCCAGCCCCGTGTTAATCTGCCCGCAGCCTGAGCCCAGATTAAGACTCCCACCAGCAGCTTTTGCTCAAAGGAACAGCTGGAGATCTGTGGGGCAGCCCCACCGGGCCCCACCGGACCTCCCAGCCCCTGCACCGGGCCTAAGGCGAGGGGCTGCCCGAGGGCTGTGCCCTCACGCGCCTCACTCCATCAATAAATAACCACTGCATGAATACTGAATGAGCCATTCCACGGTGTAAATGTTACCTCTGCTTATTCTGAAGCGGAAGCTCCCGCTGCCCTCTCTTCCACGGGAGCTGCTTTCCTCCTTTCCCCCCAGCAGCATCATGAAAGCTGAGACACCGACGCAGCGCTCACCGCCCTCACCTCCATGCAACATTAATGGCACCCTGCTGGCCCTGTGCTTGCAGGCGCTGTGCGCTCCGTGGGACATTGGCTCAGCTCTGTCCCCTGCCCTGTGCTCTGGTGCTGCATTTCCCAGCTGGGGGGGGGTTGCAGCATGTGCACCATGCATTGGCACTCACCAATTCTGCGCCAGCGCTGGAGTTAAAGTGAAGAAAAGACAAGAGCATTGAACTGCGCCTACAAGAAAGCACTGCTTTGCTCCAGCCTCTCCTGCACACATGTGCTGGGCAGCACAGCACAGCGCTGGGCACACGTGGAGCATGCTGCCACATCCCCTGCCCCAGTGCCACCCTGCTCCTGTACTGTACAATCAACAGATATACCATCAGCAGAGTGGCGTGGTTAGGATGGCATTTTGCAGGTTGTATAACTAGAAAGGGGAAAGAGATGATCAAAAATGAATGAAATGCCCATCCGTGTCCCCACAGAGAAAACTCCACAGGAAGCGATCTCCAGAGAGAGATCCTTCCCTGCTGGCTGTCAGCCCTTCAGTGGGGACTGGGAGAGGTTTGGAACCACTGCCTTCACTCAGTGCTCGCCTCAGCTGATCAGTCAGTGGCTCAGGCCATGATTCACCAGTTCGGAGAGTGCCGGGGGACGCCTGGCCACGGCCCTTACCTGTACTTCATGCCTGTGGCGCGCGCCGTGCAGCCGTCCAGCGAGAGCCCGTGTGTCCGCAGGAACTCCTCCAACGTCTTGGCCTGTGCCGCCGCACGCACGTCCCGCAGCCGCCGCAGCTCCAGAGCATCCGTGCGGCGCGGCGGCTGCAGCCCCCAGTCGGCGTGGTGCCGGCTGGCCACGCTGCGCAGGCTCTCGCTGTACGTCATGGACAGCATTCTGCTGCCTGAGCGCGGGGGCTGCGGGGCGGGCGGCGGAGCTCAGCGGGCGGTGGGGACACCCGGTTGTCCCCGGACCCCGCAGCGCTGCGCGTGGCATGGGGATGGCGAGAGAACCCGGCCATGGGCAGCACAACGACCGGCCGAAGCGGGAAAGCCAGGGTGCCAAAGGAACGGGACATGCGGCGCAGCAGCGGGGAAGGGAAGGTGGCACACGGCACGGGCACAGGTGTGAGGCTCCGGTGCCTTCTGCCTTGGTGGTTGCTGTGTGCCACGTGCCAGTTACATGGGGACCCACGAGGACGCGTCCTGGCAGTGGAGGGCGCATGGCTGCCCGTGTCAGGGTGCTGCAGTCCGTGCCACCAGCCAACACCGCAGCACTGACAGCGCGCTGCGACCTCACCGCAGTGGCACCAAAGAGGTGGCACTGATTTTCCCCTGTTGCTCTCCCTGGGACTCCCACTGCACTCAGTGCCTGCAGAGAGCAGCCGGCGCCTGGGAGCTCCGTGCGGCCCCATAGTGGCGATGGGCGCAGAGCAGAGCCTGCCTGCACCCCACTGCCTTGGGGCATTCTTTCCTTTTCCCATGAAGTTCAGTTTTACAGCAGTTCTATGGTACAAAGTGTGCTTTTGTACTCAAGTATGACCTCAAGAAAAAAGCAAGAATGGGAAAGAAAGAGCTTTAGCTTCAAGGAATTACCAAAAACCCCAGGGAGCTCCTGCGATAAACAGTGCTTTTTGAAAACGCTCTGGAGCTCCTCATGCACAGGAAAGCAACCCAGCGTGTTCCTAAAGTGCAGGGAAATGCAAAAAGAGGATCCCCTACCTGAGGTCAAAGCCACAAGGCGCTGAGCACAGCACTCCCTGGGTGCCCCCACATCTCTGCAGCGGGGCCGTAGGGCTGAAAGCAAAACGCCCCGACCTCCGGCACCCCCCAGATCTGCAGTGCCGGCACTGAGCCCTCCTCTGTGACTGACGGATCTCACACACAACCCCACTGGCTGCCCCTCACTGTGCAACCAGAGGAGTGCAAAGCGCTGCTTCTCTGCCTTCATCTCACTGCAATTAAATTAAAGCGGCGGTCAGAGTCAGAGGGGGACGATCGGAGCAGCGAGGCGGTAATTAATGGCGTGCCCTGCACTGACACCTCTGTGATTTCTGGCTGAGCAACAACACCATGCGGCGGGGAGAGCACCGGGCGCACCCACAGGCACTTATTAGCACAAACTTTCTGCAAACCAAAGAGCGAGAAGCAACGGCTCAGCCCAGGGCTGGGGAAGCTGCCGAAGGCGGGCAGTGATGTGCGGCGGTGCAAAGCATCCATGCTGGGCTCCGTGTGCTGCCATCACCCCGTGCTCCCATCCCAACCCACGGGGCCCCAGCGCCACGCGGAGGAGTGAGGTGCGATGCGCTGCCTCTGTCCCAGCCCACAGCCCGGGGTGTCACAACCTGCAACAACAACTGCAACAACGAGAAGCCCAAACGAAGCCCTCCCCAGCCAAGCAGCTCAACGTTACATTGCAGCCCCAGGCAGGGAATGCAGCCCCACTCGCAGCCCCGAGTGCCGCCCTGGCGCCTCGGACTCACCCGGCTTCTGGGGTTCCTGCTCATTAAAAAGGAAAGCTCTGGCTGTTAGGGTTCCCTCAGACAGCTTTAAGGGAGGCACAGCTGTGGTTTTTTTCATGGAGGGGAGTGTCGGCGCACAGCATCCAAAGCAATTGGTGAACACAAGTCCCCCCAGAGTCAAGTTTTTGAGCGGCGCTCCATTAGCCCTATTAGGGTATTTTCTTCCTAGCGAACAGGAGCTCAATTATTCATGACTTCTTCGCTAAAAGCCTGTGGATGTGCAGCTGCTTTATGAACGCTGGCATCGTTTCCTCCGCCCGGAGCCGACCCTCACCGGCGGCTGCGGCGCGGCGCCTTGCGGTGCCATGGGCTGAGCCATCCATCCACGGAACACAGCCCTCCCTGCAGTGCCAGGACTGAAATGCAAGCACCTCTGGGTGGACACGCATCTCCTGAGCACACGTTTGTCCCCCTCTCGCCACCCTCACGCCGTCCACGCGCTGTGTTTGGGGACACAGACTCAGTGCATCGCTCCTCGTGCCGCTGTGGGCCATCCTCATACCCCACAGCGCCCTGCTGGCACGCTGCAGGGGAAAAGTGCCTTTTTAATTTTAGGCAGTAAAAGGTTGGGTAAAAAAAAAAGCTATCTGTGGTCTTAGGTATCAGTTAATGACATTTCTCTTAATGCAAGGAGCAGATGAGAGGGCTGGATGGGTGCCCGGAGCACCCCCTGGGAATGGCTAACAGCCCGGGCTGCTCTCCACACAGCACCAGCCCCACATCCCGGCCCTCCCAGTGCTCCCCATGCCCCAGCCAGGTCCTTCGGCGTGCAGCTGCCCACGGCAGAGCCGGCATACACAGATGTGGGCGCCCCGGCCCAGCAGAGCCCTCAGACGGGACCTCAGCACAAGCAGGGGTTGCCCCACTGGGGGCCATCTGTGCTTCCCAGAGGCGTTTTTAGGGAGAAGTAAAGGACGCGGTTACCTGTAGAACTGGAGCTGGCGCTTGGGGCTCCCATACCTCGCGCTTCCGACAGCAAGGAAGGAGGAGAGAGAAGAAAGATGCCACAAAGCGCGTTAGCAGAGTGGGGAGCGTGGCAGCACCGCGCAGCCGAGCCGGGACAGGTCGCTGCCAAACCCACGAGCGCTGCGCGGCGTACCGGCAGGGATCAGCTCTTCTAACACGGGGTGCTGGCACCCAGGGGCTGCCCGGGGCTCCGCTCACATGGCTGCTCACCTGTAGATCATGCCGGGGGAGCCCGTCTGCCTCAGCGAGAGTCGTGCCGGGGAGTCTGTGGTGGATTCCGGATACATGGAGCCAGCCTCGCCAAGCTCGCCCCGCGCGCTGCCTCACCCCTGCAAAAAGAGGAAGCCGGGTTGAATCAGCAGAGAGTTGGAGTGTGAGAGTGACGGCGCTTCCTGCTGTGGGCCGGATGGGTGTGCGGTGTGGTGCGGGCATGGCACAGCTCTGCCATCCCGTGTGGGATCCGGCACGGCCACCAGACCATCACAGCTCTGCTTGCCCCATGGCTCCCCACAGCCCATCCCACGCCACCAGCCCTCATTATGGGCTCACAAACTCCTGCCACTTGATGGAAGGCAGAGCTGCCACATTGCAGCTGGTGCAGACAGCAGGACCAGCTGAGTGTGTGCTTGGGTGCCGTGCGGATGCTGTGCCCAGCCTGGCCCGTGGTTGCGCTGCTGGGTGCAGAGTGGGGCTCCCCGCTGCCTGTGCCTGCATTGCTTCCTGCCCTGCGCCCGCCCTGCTGCCCTAAGTGCGCTCTTGCGACACAGCAGGAAGCAGTGAAGAAATTCAGGGCCTACAAAATTCAACATTTTGCTGATGGGAGGAAAAAAAATCTCCAACACGACGCTACAGCATCCCCCGGAGGCTCCCCCTGCAGGCTGTGCGTTATTCCCACCCGCACCAATCCCCGCGGCTGTTCTGCAGCCTTCACGCTATTGTACTGGGAGGGGAGGGGGAGGAGGAATGCGGGAGGGGAAGGGCGGGATTTTAATCTTTCAAATTCAAATGATCCTTCCATAAGCGCACGGCACCGAATCTTCCGCGCTGCAGACGGCGAGCTGCTTTCTGCCCTGGATTTGAGGCGAGATATTTCCGTGCCGCTTCTCCAGCGGATGCACAGCCCGGCGTGGCACGCATGCATCCCGCTGCATCCCTTGCAGCCCGCACGGCCCAATGGCAGCGGCTGCGGCAGCGCGGCCGTCCCCGCGCTGCAACCCTGCAGCAAACCCTGCGCAGAGCGGCAGCGGCCCCGCGGCCCCTTCATCTGCTCCCGGCTGCAGCCGCAGCGCCTCGCACGAGAAGGAACGGGGTCACTGCAGCTCACGGCAAGGACGGGTTCGGCTGCTGAATGCCGGGAGACAGCTGCTCTCTGCCGCACCGCTCCCCGCAGCGACGCGACCCGCGCTGCTGCAGTGTCACCCGGATGCGCGATGCTGCCAAGCGCCGCAACCCCATCCCGGCCCCTGGGGGGTGCCTGGGAGTCCGCATCACTCCTGCAGCACGAGCACCTTCCCCCCCGGGGCTCAGCAGCCCCACGGGCAGGGCTGGATGGAAGGTCCCCGAACGCTGCAGGGCGTCCCTGTGAGGGGGCAGCGCGGGCAGCAGCAGCGTTGCTCCTGCAACAGAACCTTGCATGCACAGCACCTCCCACCGCACGCTAATGCTCCTGCACCGCGCTTCACACCCTCCCCAGGGGAGTGAACAGGAAGCAAAACGCTGAGGCTGAGGGGAGCTGCATGCAATGTGGGGCACCTGCAGGGGACGGACCTGCACTGAGCCACAGCCGGGCATGGACTGAGCTGTGCCTGCATGAGCAGGAGCGTGGGAGAGGCCAGAAAATGAAGGCACAGCACAGCAGTGGCTCATTTGTTCTGCATAACTGTGGCAGTGCCAGCCCTGCATTCCACAGTGGGCTGGCTGTGGGCAGCCCGGGATACACCCGGCCCTGTTTGTGGCAGTGCAGAGCAGTGACCACTCTCAGGGGGACCTGCTGGTGCCACCGAGATGCAGAAGGGGGTGGGAAGCCCACAGAATGCCTTCTTCTAGCATGGAGCAATGGCTCCTGTCCCGGCTGCAAAGGAAAGCAGTGTGCCATGGGGCAGCTGGCACAGTGCAGGGCAGCACTGGAGAGCCAGAACCAGTGGCGACCATCCAGAAGCTCAGAGCCAACATCCCTGGCCCCGCACTGCTGGCAATTTCCCTGCTGGAGGCTGAGATGATGCCTTCAGCTTCAGTTTCATCAGGGCAAAACTCACAGAGAGGCCCCAGCTGCACTGATTTCTGCAGGGTGGTGCACGGAAACAGAAGTGTTTTCTTCTGTGGGGTACTGGGAATAAAGGTGTGGGATGTGCTCAGGACCTGGGGACAAGGGCTGCCCTAAATGCTCCCATCCCCATCCTCATCACAATGATGGTTTAGGAGAGCCACTGGGATGCTGGAAGGATTGATGGCTAATAAGGCCCGGAGCAGAGGCTCTGTCTGATGCATTGCTTGAAGGAGGCTTTAAGACTCATTCATTAATGTTAATTGCTGAGATCCAATGGCATGGTTTTATCCTGGTCTCCACAAGATGTAGTACGAATATGGGAACATGCTGGCAGAGATCAGGCAGGCAGCACCTACCCAATGGATGAAGTGATGCCAAAAAACCAAAGTGAGAACCCATGCCTGTTTCTTGGCCAGGAAGAATCCTTTGGGTAGAGCCACCACGTGAGGCTCACGTGCCCCAGCCAGCCCCAGGCACAGGGGCTGCTTCCAGTGGCAGACCTGGCACCATGCTGTTGGATGTCCCCACAGGATAGCACCGGCTTTGGGTGGCTGCTACATGGGAAACATCATGGGCACAAATGTCCTACTGAGTCCCAGCAGGACTGGATTTACGCTCGCTCCTTCCCATGCCCTGTGTGGCTGTCATTGCCATGGCTGGGGCACAGCAGAGCCCGGGCTGAGTGGAGAGGAAAGGATGGAGGGGCAGTGGGACCCCCCCCGGGCACCCAGCCCCTGCCCAGCTCCCGGCCCTTCACATAATGATGTGGGTGAGACCACACAGAGCCTCTCCTCACTCAAGGTGCCCGTTCTGAGACTGCTAATTTTTTTCCCCTGGATCTGGTAAACAGCATCCTCAGCGAATTCTCCCCCAAACATGCTATGGAAAGATGAGTTAAGGACGATTACTCATTGCCCTGCTATGACTTGCAAATGCTTCACATATCCTCTGCATCCCTGGGTCCCTGTATGCCGGGTCCCCATGTCCCCGTGTCCCTGCCCGCAGCAGTACCTGCAGGGCTGCAGGCAGCACTCGTGTCCCCGCAGGTCCCCGCAGAGCCGGGCCAGCCGCAGCCACACCGCAGCTCCCTGCAGCAGCTCGGGCGTGCAGGTATGGCATAAGCCATTCATTGTAACGCCAGGAGACCCGCCCGGCAGGGACTGAGCTGCAACACGTGAGGCTGCCTGCTCTTCCCGTGCACTCCGAAACAGCACCGCTCAGCTCCCGGCGTGACAAACCCCACAATCGCATGTGGGCCCACGGCGGGCCATCGTTCCTTTTCACATCCGCGCTATGTGAGCAGCCAAGTAACGCTGCACCCCAACACCCGCGGCGTGCAGCCCTGCGGGGACTCACTGCATCCATCTGGGCTGGATGCGGCACTGCACCTGCGGGCGAGGCACAAACAGCCGCACCGCACCGCACCGACCCAGCTCCATCGCACCGCACCGCACCGACCCGGCCCCACCGCACCGCACCGCACGACCCCGCGGCGCGCACCCACCTCTCCTCCGCGGCGTCTGGGCACTCAGAGCCAGCCCTCCCCGAAAGTTTTTCCTCCTCGGCGATGAAGATGCACGGTCGGGAGGGAAAAAAAAAAACCAACAAGGAAGAACCACAGAACCGAGACGTAAATCAGCTGACGGCGGCGAGATGGAGGCTCTGCAGATCTGGGAGCGCGGAGCCAGGTGCCGGTCCGCAGCGAGCGCCGAGCAGGGCGCGTTTACCCCATTCCTCCGCGCCCCAACGCGGTGCTGGTGAGGGGGGGGGGGGGGGGGGGGGGCGGCCCCGCCGCTCGGATCGGCGCTCCCGCACCGCCGCCGCCGGAACCGCGCAGTGCGGGCGTGCGCAGCGCAGCACCGTGCGGGACAAAGGGCTGCGGGGGGGTGGGGGGAGCGTCTTCCGACCGCGCCGGTGCCGCTCTGAAGGAATAGAGAATAGGGCAGCGCGGGGATGGGGCAGGGCTGCGCGGAGCGGGGCGGAGGTGCCGGCACCGCAGCCGTGAGATCCGAGGAGAGAACAGGACGGGCACCGGCTTGGTGTCCTCAGCGCTGCTCCAGAGGAGCGGACAGAGCCAGGACGATGTGCCGGCACCCAGCGCCGCCGCCAGAATCCCACCGGGTTCAGCTGAGCTCGAGGCGCAGCACCGCATCTCGGGACCCCACGACGCCGGGTCACCTCCGTGCCACCCCGCGTGGCACCGGGACCGAGGGCTGCTTCAGCCCCGAGCCTTCCTCCTGGCACCAGCACACAACGCGTGCCTCTGTCTTTGCACCAAGAGCTCCCGGTGAGCGCTAAGAGGTGCCCCGCTGGCAGTGGTTGCTGCTTTTTAATTAATTGGCTTTTGCTTTTTTTTCCGTCTTGCAGAGCTCCTCCCCAAAATGTGTGCTTTGGAGGTGAAGGGGAAACATCTGCATAAGCCCGGCACTATTACAGTAGAGCTGACCCTGCCCAGGTTTAGCAGCAGAACCAGAGGCCAGGAGAGCAACAACGACTGCTGCTTCAGAAGCGTGCAGCTCGCGATTGGCATTGGGATGGGAAAGCAGGAACCCACTCTGTGCCGCACGCAGGACATGGGGTGGCAGCTTGGAAAAACAAGGAAAGGCATCTGCCTCAGGAGTCCCAAAATAGCCCCAAATTCAGCCTTGTTGTGCCTGTAATCACACTCGGATGGGGAAAAGCCAACGGGGCTCTGTGCGCAGCCGCGGCCCCAGCAGTGCCACGCCGCCGGGACTGATGGCACCGCAGTCAGCACTGCCAGAAAATCGTCCTCTGTTCTGCAAACCCAGCTTGCGGGCGTGCTGCCCGGCACAGGGAAACACGAGGAGAAGCCAATGCCGAGATTTACAGGGAGCACCAAACGCGGAGAGCCCCTCACCGCGCCGCAGCACTCCTGGCACGGCAGGAAACCGCGCGCGGCCCTTCCAGACGCGGTGTTGCACTTTGCTCTGCGCCACGGGCTGCACACGGGGCAGGGGCGCAGCGCGGGGCTCGGGCACGGCTCAGCGCTCCCCTCCTTGGGCAGGATGAAACACCAAAGGAAACCCACGGCTCTCGTGCATCTCCACGTGCGGCGGCGAGCAGCGGCGTTCTTGTGAGCCGGCGGGGGAATCGCCGCATATATATGCATGTGTAATTCCTCGGCAATATGCGCACTTGCTACACACGCGGATTTCAGCTGTTTTGGCGCTCGCCCACGGCGCGGCGGCGCGGTTCACAGCAGCGCGTTTCCAGGAGCCAGCGGCAATCTGGCTCCGCTTGCTCGAGGTGTGCGGCGCGGGGCCGTGCGGGGCGGCTCGAGGTACGGCAACGGAAGGGCAGAAAGGAGGAATTTGTAGGCGCTGCCGCCGCACGAGCGGTAACGTCCGGCGTGACCCCATCCGGCGGCCGCGCGGCAACGCGGTGCGGGGGAACGGCTCCGCACTGCGCGGACATCGCACCCCGCGCGGCGCCCTCGTGGGGGGCGTGCCCCGCCCCGCCGCCTCCTATTGGCTGCGCGGCCCGCCGCTCCGGCGACATGCAAATCGCGCCGCGCTCATTGGCTATAAAGGAGCGCGGCCCCGCCCCATCCCCCCGCCGAGCGGCTGCCGGGAGCCCGTAACGCCCGGGGTCTGCCGCTGCCCGCGACCCCCCCACCGACCCTCGTCCTTCGGCCCCGCATCCCCGCCGCCCGCATCTCCTCCCCCGCCGACCCCCGCCCCGCTCACCGGCGCGGCGCTGCGGGCGGTGGGACGGAGCGGAGCGGCGCGGAGCGGAGCCGGGCGGTGCCTCCCCCGCGGGGCGGCGCGCATCGCCCCAGTAACCCGACGCCGCGCGAGGCGCGACCACCGGCGCAGGGGGAACCGCCGCCTCTCCCGGTCCCGGCCGTGCCCTGAGCCCCGCACCGCCACCGCGACCTCCGGCCGTTCCCAGCGCCGCGTGGGACCGTTTGGGGGTTGCGGGATGCGGGCGGTGCGGAGCGGCGCGGAGTGGCGCGGGGAATCCCCCCTCCCGCACGGCGGTGGTGCGGTCCGGGAAGATGGCGGCGAGACGCGGCGGGAGCGGTGAGTGCGCGGCGGGGCGGCCCGCATCGTACCGCAACGCTCCAGCTGGGCACGCTCCTCGTGCGGGGGTCGGAGATGTCAACGCATAGAAGGGCCTCTATAGGTGCCGTGCGCTCCTGCGGGTCTCTGCCCCGCGCACGCGGAGTGCGGAGCTCTCCGGTAACACCGGCACCGCCCCGGGTCAGCTCCTGTCCCCACTTTCAACCTTCGGCAGCTCTCACTGCTGGTTTGCAGGGCGCTGCTGCGGGTCCCCAGGGTGTCACCGTGCTGCGGGTGAGGGGGGGTGCAGGAATTCTGTGCAATTTGCAGAATTGGTGTCGTGCACTTGTACTGCTTCACCGCTCGGCCGTGTTTCCCCTCACTGTGTGCTTTCTCTCGCAGCTGAGCATCCCCCAGCAGAGTCCTGCAGGAGGAGGTGACCCCAGAGGGTGAGATGGCTGAGTGGGAGCGGCTGTTTGCATGGAGCCGTGCTGTCCCACCTCACACCCAGCGCAGACGCGGCGTGCCGGAGCCCTCGGTGCCTTTCCAGTGTGTCCTGAAGTGCCTCGAGGGCTCTGTTGTCACGCAGGTACGGAGCTGTAAAGCCAAAAGCATGAAGCACATCGCACTCCAGAGGCTGTGCAGGACAGTGCTGGGCTGGTTGGAAATCCCCTCCTGCTTGTGGGCCTGGGAGGGTGCAGGCATCACAGGCATGAATGCTGTGTGCCCATGCAGCCTGCTTTGCGCAGTGCCCAGCAGCCATCTCATGTCTGTCAGGAGAGCTGAGCAGAGCCCAGATTTCTGCTACATTTACTTCCTTTTGGGCTCCTAAATCTCCCAGTATCAAAGCAGAACTGTATGTAAATCCCATGTGCTTCCATCTACACATCTGAGTTAGTTTTACATGCTAACCTTCAGGGTCACCAGGCATTTTCTGCAATAGAAGGGTGATGTGTTACAAGTATTCATCAGCATCAGTGTAGAAGCCCCAGTCAGCTGTGCTCTATCCCCCAGGTGGTGACAGCCTGCCCTATCAGAGGCATTTCCCCATGCCCCTAGGTGCAGGTGAGGAGCTGCATTCCCACACCTCTCCCTCTCTTGCAGCAGTCCCCAGCTAAGCTGCAGCTTCGCCTGTCTCTCTTCGATGCCACCCACCGCCACTTCTTTGGCCACACGTGGCACAGCAGCACCCGGACCCCCCGCAACCCCCCAGGACAGCCCCCCTGTGTGCTCTTCAATGAGGTATGGCCGTTGAGGTTGGTTGGCTTCATGCTGGGCTGTTGGTTCCCTGCTTCTCCACAGTCTTGCAGCTGGGTGCATCTCCCATTATTAAATATGATGTATTCTAAAGGACAAACCCTGCAAGCTGCAGGCTGGGTGATGCGGTGCTGTGCCTCCGTGCCAGCAGCAGAGTGCACTGTTCCTTCAGACACAGATGGGCTGAGCAGCAGCTCTGCAGCAGCTCTTGTGGAGGTGCTGCTGTTGCACAAAGCCAGGCTTTTATCCACCCGGGTCCCTGCAGAACTTCCAGCCCTAAGGCAGGACCTTGCAGGGGTCCCTGGGTGTGCAGCCAGCTGCACTGCTGCTGTGCACAGCTGTGGTGAGGCTGCAGTCCCTGCAGCATCGGTTGCAGCTGAGGCTTCATCTCCTTGGTCATGATAGTGTCTAATTATAGCCTTTATTTCCACTTGAGTCAATGCGTTGTGCCAAGGATGAAGTTTAGCACAGATCAGAGCCGCGCTCTGTGATTTATTTTAATCTCTGATGGCATCTGAGGAACATTGGCATATGCATTTCATCCTGAGGTGTTTGAATCATCGCTCAGTCCATGCTTTGTGAATAGGGGTGGGGGAAACTGTGGCACAGAGAGCTGCCAAGAGAGAGGAACACAGTGCTGCTCCACGTGCTGCATGAGCCCACATGTGGGGCACTGTCCCTGCGATACAGGCGGCACTTCCCAGGCACCAGGACGTGGAAATGGAGCTCTGCATTGTGGTTCAGAGCTTCCCCAGTCTGGCACTCACCAGTTCAGCTCTGCTGGAGCACTCCTGCTGCACTGATGGAGGGCTTAGAGGAGATGGGAGTGTTATTGGAACTGCTGTTGGCTCTTAGGAGACAGCTGTAACCTCTTTCTTAACAACAGATGTGCTTTAGCAGCTCCTGTTCCTGTGGCATCAGTCTCTTGCAGCCTGGCCACCTGTCAGCAGCCAGTGGTCATTATTTCAGCATTTTGCAATAAAAGATAATCGAGTAGCGATTTATTTCTCTGGGATGATGTGCTAATGCCTCTCTCTGTTATCCCTTCCTGACAGTCCGTGACTGCAGCCAACGTTTTCTCTGGGACGCTGCGTTGCGATAATGAGGCTTTACTGGAAGGGTTGATCACACTGTAAATCCCATCCCGGGGAAGTGACCGCGTCCTGCCCTCCCTGTGCTGTGGGTTAGGGGCTCCTGCAGCCCCTGGGGACCCAGCAGGATGTGTTGGTTGGACCTGGCACTGCGCATCAGCATCCCTTCCCTTTTGCAGTGCTCACGTGCAGATATGCCCTGTCCTCAGTGAGAGCTGTGCTGTTGTTGCTCTCGGCTGCCGCACTCTTCCATCTCTCCCCAGGCCGTGTATTTCCACACCTCGCTCAGCCACCCCAGCGTCACAGCCGTGGTGGAGGTGGTGGCTGTGGCCCCTACCCCAGAAGGGCTCTCACGGAACGTGTCGTGTGGCTTCGGGCTCATCCCACTGTTTGACAGCAGGCGGGAGCCCTCGGACCTGGCTGCCAAGGGCAGAGTGTAGGTACTGCTCCCAGGGCTGCTGCGTGGGCCTTACTGGGAATCCACTGACTGCTTCCCCTTTGGTTTCAGGCTCAAGCTGTACCACGGGACACCACGTGCCTTGCTGCACCCGCTTCTCCAGGACCCTCTAGAAAGTAAGCAGCAGCACGGAGAGCACGTCGCTCCTTTCTTTGCACCCAGATGTGCGCTGGGTTTGCCTGATGGAGGCGGCAGATGTGGGCTCTGCACCCTTGCAGCCCAGGACAGACCGTGCCTTGTCCTTGGACTGTGTGCGGCTGCAGCAGAGGAGATGAGAATGTGAGCCTGGGATCTGATGCAGAAAATAGCTGTTTGTTTGAATATATGGTTATTACCTTGGCTCCTTTTGAGAAGCGATATCCCCATTGCGCTGCGGATGGAAAAGAGGAAACTGTGCTGTTTTGGTACATTTCAGGGGAAATGTGTTAGAAACGCTTTTCTAAGCAGTGTAGTGGAAAGAAAATGTCAGGGTTATGGGTTTCCATTCCAACAAGATGCGTTGGGTTTGGAAGCTGATAGCTGTGCTGTCCCAGCTGAGGAGGCTCCCAGTGAAAGTCACCTTGTGTGAGATGCTGCTGGCACAGCATGGAGCTCCCCGTGCTGGAGTGTGTGCATTGCTGGGGCTGAGATGTGCTGGAGACAGATTCTGTGCCTGCCCTGCACTGATGGGTCTTAAGGATGTGGGAAAAATGGCAGCTCTGTAGCACTGTCTCCCCATAGCTTTTGTCATTTCATCACGTTTTCTTTTGATCAGAGAATAAATACATGACTATAATGGAGAACAGCCACCTGCAGTACAGCCTGAAGCTCCACCTGCCTCTGGAGAAGGTATTTCATCTCCTTCCTGAAAACCTCCTGGTGTCTGGCCTGCAGAAGATCCCTGGCCTGCTGCCTGCACATGGGGAAGCAGGTGAAGGTCCCTCTTGTCCCTTTGCCACTGCTGGAACTGTGGGGTTGTGCTGTGCTGCTCATGGCCACTTCTGCTTGTGCACCCATGCTCCGTGGCCATGAGCACAACCTCATGCTGCAGGCTTGCCTCTGTCTGGATCAGACTGCAGGTCCTGCTGCTCTCTTTCAGCTTTAGAATCTGTTCTGTGCTCAGAGTATTAGAAGCAGCTCCCAGAGCAGCAGCAGGACCTGCAGGGCTCATTCCCTCTGCTTTCCATTTGGGCAGAAATGTCATGGACTTCTCTGCAGCTCCCCCACGGCGGAGGAGCAACTCTAGCATTTGCATCCAGTGCTGCAGTGTGTCTGCATGGCTTCATTTTGCTCTCTTCTCCGTTAATTGCTTTGCTCCTGGGAAACCGGGAGGGGTAAATAATGGTTGGTTTAATTGGAGTCATTCAGAGGAGTCTTAAGAGAAGGCTGCACAGCTTGGCTCAGCTTGTCCTTGGTGGTGGTGCTCTGGGCAGCCAAGAGCTGGCAGGGCTGAGGGATGAGCTGCTCCTGCACGCAGCCCTCCGAAGCATTGCCTTGCAGATGCCAGCCTCGTTCCTGTTGATCTGACAAAGAAATGATGTGATCTGGAAATTCACAGAACAGAATGACTCTGTCATCTATTTGGCAGTGGTGAATTCTTCTGCTGAGGGCAGGCAGCAGCGCAGTGCAGTGGTCCCATCTTGTGGCTGTCAGGAGAAATCCTCTGAAATCCTGCCTGGCTTGTGCTTCTCCATCGCGTGGCGCTGTGCTGGCTGGAGATGCTCTCTATTCCATTTCTTGCCCACAAGCTGGAGCTGCTGGCTGCTCATCGCAGTGTGACCCTGTTGCTATGTGTCACTGCAGGTGACATCTTCCTCAAGCCGCGGCTCATGCGGACAGTCCCCTGCTACCTGGACCAGCTCTGCGTGCTCCTGCACCCTTCTCTGGAGAAGTTTGAGGAAGAGCTGCTGGAGCAGCTGAACAGCGACCGCTTGCTGAAGGTGATGGTGTGTAATTAAATGGGGTGAGATGAGCTGCGTGCCAATGCCCGTCCTCAGGTGGAGTGGCAGCATTCAGATGAACGGCACTGCAGCACCGGTTTTGCTTAGTGCCTGGTTTTCCTGCTATGGCAGGCGGGGATGAGCACAGAGGGGCTTTATGTGGGGTGTGCTGGGTGTGCAGACCATAGCTAGCAGAATTTGGGTGGGCCGCTCTGAAAAAGGCAGAGATGTAGCGCTTGTGCAGATGGCCCTTCCAAGTCCTGTGCTGCTGGCTGTGGGCTGAGTGGGATGAGGGCAGACGTGTGCCCTGCTGCTCTCAGTGCCCGTCCCCCATCTGCTCTGGCCATAGCAGGAGGTTGGCAGCGCGCTGTGCGTGCAGGAGCGGCGGCTGCGTGTCGCTGTGCACAACGGGCTGCGCTTCGTCCAGGCCCCGCAGGTGGCCGTGCTGCAGCCAGCAGCTGAGGCGGCCCGGAGGCAAACCACCAGCAACACGGACAGGTAAGGGATGCACAAACCGTGCCCTGCTGCCTGCAGGGTGCAGCCTTCCTCTTCCTCCTCCTCGTCTTCTCCCTGCAGCACTGCAGAGCAGGCGCTGCTGCTGCGGAGCTGCCTGCAGCTGAATGAGATGGTTGCCCATCCGGCCTTTGGGGTCTGCTTCCAGCTGGAGTACGTCGTCTGTGCTGCAGCCAAGGTAGGGCCAGGCCTGGGGGGCATGTGGGGTGGTGGGAGGACCTGGTGTTTTTTCAGCATTTTCAGCCCCTCCCGTGCCTTCCATACCCAGAAGAAGGCACTGCTGCTGGTTTCTGCAGTGGTTTACAGAGCTGCTGTGCCCCCGGGACCTCAGAAAGCAGAGGAGCTGCTTCCCCACCTCTGCTTGCTTCTTGAGTGCTGGGTTGGGCTCTCAACAGTTCCTGCGGGCAAGGAACATTGTGCAGAAGGGAAAGCACTCCCCATAAGGGAACATCCCACCAGCAGAAAACCTGAGTCCTAAGCACTGCTGTGGGGGAGAAGGGGGTTGAACTTGGGGGTAGGAGGAGGGCTGCTCCATGGGGGCGCAGCATCTCCGGGGCTCCAGCAATGCTCCCTTTGCTGCTGATGGAGGGATCCATCCTGGGCCGCCTCCTCGTGCTGGAGGAGCTGAGGCCAATATCTCACATCAGAATGTCAGAGTGCTTTCTGCAGCGCTGGGTGGAATGTGCCACAAGTGGGCTTATTAAGTCATTTTAATTATATGGTGTTAAATTTTTTCCGCTGCCTGTACGTGGATGGAGAAACACAGGCTGCAGCAGTCCTGGGGTGTTCTGGAGAACCCAGTTGGAGAACTTCAGTTTGTTTTGTTTCTTTTTTTAATTCAAAAAAAGTCTTGTCTTTAGAATTCAGCCTTTATGCTGAAGGGGGATTAACCCCTTGCGTTCTCTTTGGTTTTGCTGATTGCTGAGGTCTTTCTGGCAGCTGAAATCCGATGGTTTCTGGGTCTTGAAACCATGAAACCTGACTTTTTGCAGTGATGGGGACACGTGCAGGGCACTGGTCCCCAGCTGCCACCTCTGGGTGCTGCTCCTGTGCCTGGATTGATTGGGATCAACTGGTGTACGAGTCCCCAGTTGCTCTGCTGAGGTGGCAGTGTGAGGGTCATTGGTAACACAGTGAGTGCCTCCCATGTGCACAGCCTAATCCCAGAGCTGATTGCTGAGCCGCTCGGTGCTGTAATTAGCAGCCGGCAGGAGCTGAGCACTGATTGCCAAGGCTGGCAGCGAGCTGTGTTTGCCTCAGGTCTGCACCCCTTGGCTTAAGGAGAGGCTGCTGTGGCACTGGGGTAAGCAGAACCCTCTGGACTCTGCTCTGTATGGGTTTCCCATCGCTGGGGAGAGAAATAATGCAAAAATACACAGCTAAGTGCAGAGGGAGGGATGCAGCCCCTCAGCTGCAGGTAGATTGCTGCTGAGTGCAGCTGAGCTTTCATTGCCTGGTTGTTCTGGTGGTGGGGGGGGTGACTCCTGGTGACGTCTGCTGGTGCTGCTGTTGGGCTCAAACATCTGGAGGCAGAGATGGCTGAGGAAGGGCCGTGCTGCAGAACGGTGTTGTTGCAATTCCCCTGAGCGTGGTTGCAGGGGAGGGAGACACTTTGGCTGTATGTTCTCCTGCAGGCTGCAGCTGGCAGTGCGTTGGGCCCGGCAGCTGCCATGCACACAGTGCGCTGGGCGCTTTGGAGCCCCTTCCTGGGGGCCACCTCCTCCCCAGTGCTGCTGCCCCTGCGTGGCAGCGCCCATCCCAGCCCCGGGCAGACCCTGGTGTACAGAAACCCTGCAGACAGCGAGAGCTCCCAGCAGGTAAGGGCTGCTCTGCTGGTGCTGGGAGCAGCGCTGTTCCCAGCTGCCTGAAGGTGTGTGTGGCTTTTCTCTAACAGTCCTCCAACTTGAACCTTGCAGGTGAAGCGCATTGCGTCGGGTTCTGTCCAGTTCCACGTTTCCACTGATGCAGAACATCGTGTAACTTCGACAGACATCTCGAGTAAAGCTGGCAAGGAGCCGGAGGAGCCTCCTACGCCATCGCTGAGTGAGTGCCTTCTGTGTTGGTGGCATTTAAAATGCAGAACGTGGCAGTGCCGTCCAATGGCTTATGAATTACTGTGCGGAGGGGACTTCAGGTTGGTTTGATTTCAACCCTTCTACCTGTTCCCTTGTCACATCCACCCGTGCTGTGGAGCAGAGCCACACACAGGAATTGCACTCGTTTCCCTCTGTGTTTTACTCTGGGTCACTCTGACAGCGTTTGGGTCTCAGTGCTGAACAAAACAGCTCTTGAAGGGGCCTTGTGGCCCCACCAGCAATGTGCTGCTCCGGTGCTTATGTCTGCAATCGTAATCCTTCCAGATGGCTGAGGATGGGAGAGGTGTCACTTATAGGCTGTGAGTAATAAATAATCTCGTTGAGCTGCAGTTCCTGGAGCGTGACAGCAACGCGCGTTTAATCAGCGTGCGCCTCTAACGAGGGGGGGAGAACCAGGCTGTGTGTGTGTGTGTGTGTGTGTGTGTGTGTGTGTGTCTACATGCATATCTGTAGCACAGGGGGCAGATGGTGGGGCTCTCAGCACTGATCTGTGCGTTTTGGAGATGGAAAGGATTTCTTTGCCTTGGCTTTGAGCGGTGGCAATCTGCTCCCTTTTGTGCAGCTTCGTTGGTCGGTTCCCCCCTGCCCTGATCAGTGGGAACAAACCTGTAGGCGTGCTTTGCTCTGTGCTTCCCACCCTACAGCGTAGCACTGGGATCAAAACCAGGCTGTGCACCACACGTCCTTGTTTGTCCAGTTCGGAGCAATTTGGTGGCTCTGCTATGGGAGATGCTCCTCTCCCACCACTCCCTTGTTGTTAACGCTTTCCAATTTGGGGCTGTGCACACGGGGTTGCTCACAGCTGAACTGCCTGTTTAAGCATCGTCGTGCGAGCTGATTACCTGATTAATGGGGTGTTGTCACCACGAGATGGCAGTGGCACCGCGGCGTTGCTGCGGGATGGGAGCCCGTGGCGCATCCAGCTCCGGGCTCACTGCTCTCCAGGGCTGTTTGTTGGTTTAACGGGCTTCACAGCGGAAGTCTTTGAGGGTGAGACGGCGCTGGAGTTGGTGGGCTGTGCTGGGTGAGGCTGCCAGCAGCAGTGCTGAGAGGCGTTTTGTTCCTGGTGTTGCTCGAAGGATCTCCTGAGCGAATTCCAGCTGGTGTCAGTGCACGGAGAAATGGATGTGAATGCAGGCTGATGGTGACCCTCTGCTCCCAGGCACAGGGTGTGGGGGTGTGGGGCACCCTGCCCTCGAGGGTGGATGTGGGGGCTCAGTTGTGCATGGAGCTGATCCTGGGGTCTGACAGATGGACTGGGAATCCTCCTGCAGCACCAACAGCTCCGCGCACCTCTGCGCACCATTGCTTTAATGACAGGCAGAGCCACTGTAATGGAAAGAAAACAATATTTTAGACATAAGGGAAGTGGGGTGATTTCTGCTGAACAACGGTGAGAACAAAATAGCTGTGATTAGACGTGGTTGAGAAAGCAACCTGAAGTTGCCAGAAAACATCTGTGTTCCTCCTCTGCTGTAAAGGATTTGCTGCTTACTGGAACAGCGAGTTCATCCGTGCCAGTGAGCAGACCAGCCAAATATAAACACAGCAAAACTCATAGCGTCTGGGGGCATGAATGTACGAACAGATGAAAGTAGTGACAAGAAATAATGGAAGAGCTATGAAAACCTTAAGTATCCTAAAAACTTTCACGTCTCATTAAGCAATCCACTTAGCCAGTGCCACATGGCTTTAAGGGAAACTGCAGTACTGTCTAAAGATGGAGGAGCTGTGTTTTTACAGCAGGAAAACTCTTGCTGGCAGATTCAGATTCCCAGCAAAATAACCTCTGAGTGTGGAGATGTGCTACGTGTTCCCCTGCAGGTAGCAGTTTTGCTGGGGGGGAAGGAGCCAAGCAGGCTGCTGGGAGGTTGTGGAGTGCCTTGCAGGGCTGTGCCCATCCCTGGGCAGCAGGGCTGTGCTGGGTGCCAGCTTTGCTGAGCTTCTCCTGTGCTTCTCTGCAGGTCTGCGCTCCCCGCCGCGCCCAGCAGCCTCCACGCAGGGACCAGGGGTGAGTGCTGCACATGCAGGGCTGTCTGTGCTCTGTGCTGTCACTGTTACCTTGGGCCTTCTGTTTTCTTCCCCTGGCTGTGTGCCTTTCCCATGTGGTCGTGTTGCTGAGCCCCATGGGCAGCAGGCAGCGATGTTCCTGCATGGTGCAGTGCAGGTTGGTTGCTGACAGTGTGCCTGAAGTCCATTGGAAGCTGGTTTTCAAGGCTGCTGCGGTCACGCAATGCTTGGCACGTGCAGCTAAAATCTGAGTTAGCAGAGGGAGGAAAGTGAATTCTATGTATAATTTGCTGGACAAAATCCTCCGACTTGTTTTCACACCCCAAATGTATTTTTAAGGACTGTTCTGGGTTTTGACAACCCAGATTTGCTGGGCACTGCTGTCCCATGGTGAGTGCCAACAGCAATGTGCTGCAAGGAGAGCTATCAGGTTTTGAGATGAGCTGCAAATACTCATATCTTGTTATGGGGATCAACGTGCACAAATATTTTTGGTGAAATGAAGCGCTTCATAGGACTGCACGAAACTGTTTGATCTTTCTACTGCCTTTTCCTATTCCTCCCTTTGAAAGAGAAAGTACAGCACGGCTGCTAAAGCAAGAAGCAGAGGTGTGAACCCGCAGGCAGCCAAGCTGTGCCGCTCCTCAGCGGAGCAGGGATGCTGCTGTGCCAAATCTCAGAGCAAACAGCATCTGAGCTGCACGAACTGCTGGCGGAACCTGGGTTGTGGCGTGGCGTTTGTGCATCATTGCTGCGTTCATCACAGCCTCTTCCCTTCCAGCTGTCTCTCTCACAGCTGCTGGCCTCTCCGCAGAGCAGGGACGGGTGCACAGTGCCACGGAGCCGCAGCGCCCCAACGCCCCGGCCCTGCAGCACACAGGATGGCCGCGCCGAGCGCACTGCTGGCATCACACACCTGGAGGCTGACCTGTGTCTGGGCTCCCCACGCGCTGATGCCTCCAGCAGTGAGCACCTGCGGGCGCTGCCCTTTGTGCCAACGCAGCTGCCCGTCACGGCCATGGCGCTGCCTGCTGGGAGGTGAGGGCTGTGGGGCTGAGATTTCGGGGGGTTGGCACAGGTTGGTGCTGCTGTTACCGCTCGCTCAGCCCCGTTTCTCTGCCGCTTCCAGTGCTGCGCTCAGCCGTGCCTCGCTGGCGCTCCTGCACACCTTTGGCTTCCCAGAGATCCTCGATGACAACAAGATGCCCCTGGAGGTCACGGAGCCGCTGAACCCCGCGCATTTCAGTCCTCGGCTGGAGGAAGTGGATGCTCTGCAAAGCAATGAAATAATCCTGCAGTTCCTTGCGTTCAGTAGGTGAGGTGTGCGGGGCTTCAAGGAGCCTTTTGGGGGAGAAGCCTATTCCAAAATGAGCTGCTTTTGTGCTTGAGCAGCAGAAGCCCTTGGGCAGTGTGCTGCTTCCCAACTGCAGCCACAGAAGTAAAGCCGTGAAGAGCTCCTAAATGACACCATTGCTCTCTCAAGGCACTCTTACAACACATTCCAGTTTCTTTGTGGTGCACCTTGGCCACACAATGGTATAAAACTAGTTAGTGCAGGGTTCCCGCTTAAATGCGTGTTATGTAGAGGAGCTGAGTTTTTGGAAAGCTATCTATGAGGGCGGCTTTCTCTCTCCAAAGCATTGCTCACAGCTCTTCCATAGATGGCAAAGGTAAAATGCTACTTCTGCTTGGCTCTTCCATCAAGCATATGGCAGAAGACAGCTGGAACTGGGAGGCTTTTGGAAAGCAAAGACAAACCATATGCCCTCTGTCTTTAGAGAAGTCCAAGTACTTTTGATATTACCAATCTTCTCTTGTTCTTCTGCTTCTTTTTGGTGAGGAGCTTATGATCCAAACAAGGCTGACCAAAAGCACTTTTCTCTTGCTCCAGGGCTCCTCAGGATGCACTGGAAGGGACGTGGCCCAGGACAGTGTTCCTCACCTTCCAGTTCTACCGCTTCCCCCCGGTCAGCACGCCGCGGCTGCAGCTGGTCGATGCGGATGGCGAGAGGGCGGTTGGGTCTGCTGTGCCAGCACAAGTGCTGCTCCAGTTGAACGAGGATGGGACCCCAAACACTGGTGGGCTCTGGTCCTGGGGTGGGTAGTGTCCTCACGTGGCCCCTCCTCTTCAGGAGGGCTGTGAGAGGAGGAAGGCTGCCATGGGAGGGTTGGTTGTGCAGCTGAGGCTGGAGGTCTCGATGCTGTTTTGCATGGTCCTGCACGTAGTTCATCAAGTTGACTTGTTCTTTTTTGTGTGTATGGGCCATAGTATTGTGTTACTGTACAAGGAAAAGCCATCTGGGAGTTTTAAACAACATTTACTGGTTCAATTGGCATTTTTGTCAATCAGATTTAGGCATGCCTCCAGGCCAAGGGAACGGACTGCTATCTGCTTTCATAGCAAACCTCCATTAGTTTATGTGGCACATAATTAAAAATGTTCAAAACGTCAAAGCATGAAGTAAAACATCAATAAGCATCAGTGACATGATCCAGACATCAGGATTGCTGACTGCAGCTGGGACTGAGCATACTGAAAAAGAAGCAGAGCATTAAAGCAAAGTGCCTGGAGTAATCTCATCTGATCCTCTGAGCAAAATGCTTTGTCTTTCCCTTTGTGTCTTATTAAATTCCTGTCCCAGGAGATGCCTTCAGTGCAGCTCCTTCCCCACCTAGAGTTCTTGGTGGCAATGAGGGATCCTGTGCTGGGGTCCTTCCCAGTGTGATTGATGGGGTTAAGCTGCACTGCGTAGGAGAGGAGGGTGCTGGGGTGGACCCAGGTGCTGTCACACCATTCTGGTTCAGCAGCAGCTCCACACCTGACATCCTGGCTTTTTCTGGTCCCTATGACAGCATGCTTGCGGGCAGGCAGGGCCCAAGGGATGCAACCCTCTATTGCTGCTCTGTTTCTTGCAGAAGCCCCAGGGCTGCAGCTGAGGTATGTGGTGGACCCCACCTTCCTGAGGCCTGGGGAGCAGCGTGTCTTCGTGCGCTACCTGGCTGAGCAGAGCCTGCAGATGGACATCTGGGATGGAGACTCGCTGCTGCTGGTCGGCTCTGCTGCGGTTAAACTGAAGGTAGGGAGCCCTTCTCCCTGAGCCTTAATGACTGCTAATGATGAGGGAGAACTGCTTAGCATGCAAGAGTTTAAAGACGAGTCTGACTCTTCCCTCTGTCCTGTGCTGAGATGCTGTTAGATTACCCTTGAGTCTTCAGTAATCAAGTTTTTATCAGGCACTCTGTTTAGCGGAGGCTGATGTCAATCTGACAAGCCTGTAATCACAGGATTTGTCATCTTATCCTTGAAAGCGACGGCAGAGCATTAACTTTCTTCCCTGGAACTTCTGTGCCGTGCTAGGGCTTACTGGATAGAAAAATTAAAGCAGGCCTAGGAAATGCAGAGACATCTTTATCCAAATCTCTAAATCTCTTGGATCTGAGTCGCCCCAGTAACTAGTTACCCTAATGCCTGGCTGTTATCCTCTCGGGGAGAAGTTGCAATGAAAAAGCTCCATCTGGGCAGCCCACAAAGGAAATGCATCTGCTGAGAGTGGGAGATGGGTGTGAGTGTGATGGGGCTCCACGCTGAGGCCGAAGGCACAGCAGCATCCATCCTGCCCCATCCCTTCTTCCTCCCCAGCCCCTGCTGCGCCAGGGCCGGCCGGCTGTCAGGACGCTGCACGAGCTGGAGGTGATCACCACTGAGTACGAGCAGGATGCACCACCAGCAGCAGGCAGGGATGTGCTGTGCCCTCTGGGCGCCCGCGTGGCTGTGCGAGGCCGCCTGCACCTCTGCCTGGCCAACGTTGGTGAGTACTCCTTGGAAGCCTTCATAGCGCTGCAAAGTGTTGTAGGAAACAAAAAGCTTTCCTGAGAGATCCAGCAGGGTTTTGCCCTGCGACTGGGGAAGGCGGATGCTGGCAGAGCTCTGAGCCTGGAGGCACGGAGCGCCCTGATGCTCTGCCCAGCATCCCTGCCACCTGCAGGGTGGCCTTGAGGCCAACGGGATGCAGGCAGTGATGCACAGGTGGGTAGCAGGGATGGGACGAAGGCAGAGCCGCCTGCGTCAGGAAACAGAGCTCTCGTGAGGGTGTGATTCTTCCTGGAGTGTAGCAGGTACTTTGTTATATTTAATTCACCGTCCTATAAATGTGCAGTGACTCCAGGTTTTAAACTCTTATCTTCAGAAAAAAGATTAGCTCCATTATAAGATATCTTAAATTGTCATTTTCCTACTTTGCCTGCAAAGGGACGATAAGCTCCTGGGAAGGAGAATCTGAGATTCACAACCCAGAGAGAGGTTTAACTCCAACCTGGCAAAAGAAGGGAGAAAGGAAAAGCACTGATCCGGGACCACAGCTACCCTTTGATTTCTCTGTCCTTTCTAAAAAATTATTTGTTTTTCTTTTCTCTAAATAAATTCCAAATACCTGCAGTAGGTTTCTGAGGGCTCTTCATGCCTTGGGCTCAGGCGTGAGGTGGTGGTAGAGCAGATTTGTGAAACACAGCTCGGGTGGTTCTGCTGAAACTTCACAAAGTGTGGATGGAAACCCGAGCTGGTTCCAAAGGTCAGCATTAAATCTCTTGGATGTCCCCATTGCTTTTCAGAAGGAAACTGCTCTGTCACTTAGAGAAAAGATAGATGGAGTGCAATAGCAGTAGGATTCCAGAGGGATCGTCGTAAAACGCAGAGAGTGTTGTAAGCAATGAGATATTTGCTTCCACTTCTTTAAACTGTCTGTGAAGATCTGCAGTGGGAATAGCATTTTCCAGTAGATTTTGTGACACTAAGAGGTCTACAACAATTTTGGGGAAAAAAATGTTGGGAAGCTACTCCTGATAATTCACAGGAGGTGGCTCTGTGCTGGCTGTTGTCTTTCTGTTGGCCTGAGCCATCACCAGTGTTTGCTCTGTGTCACGGCTGGCTGTGACCTGCTGTTGCCACATGCTGCTGGTGTGCACAGCCCAGCACCCAGCACCTGATACGGGGCT